GACATTTGAGTTCTTCAGCAATCCTATGTGTTTATAAGAGGGTCAAGCTCGGTAATCGCTTTTGATTGGTCATTGTTAACCTTTGGAGACCGGTCACTAATTCCTTCATCTTTAAACTGCTCGTTTTCTTCATAGAATTTCTTGGACCAAATATGTCGTTGATATTATGTGTTATCTCAGCTTATGAATTCAGTTTGCTTTTTGTCTAATTTCATTTCCAAAATTGGTCCAATAACAAACGCATAAGTTATTAGCAGGGGAACATAACGCAAATAAATGAACCTCAATTTGATTTTGTATTCCAATATCAAACAACAGTTCAAAATTGCAGTTCCTTTTGCTTTAAACTAACAAAAACACATCAAAGTTGCTAATCAATGAATTAGTTCGACATATTATAAGTAAGCACAGCCTTGCTGCGGAGTAGTGAACGTATGGGAAGATCATCAAATACAGGCTTGTAGAGTTAAAATACATAAATGTATGATCACAGCTGCTTGACAGATATCTTGAGAAAGCTGGCTTAGAGCCGATGAAATTATTACACTTACAACTTTGAAATCAGAAATGTTTTGCGAGCATTTCTGATTTCAAATATTTGTGACAATTCTCTGAATACGACAACACGCCGAGTGGAAGTTCATTATGGTGCCAACCTTTGGAAAAGTTATCCAACTAGTTTACGAATTGGTCTAAAATATTGAAATTAGAAAATATCCTGACCAACGACAATTTCAACATTCAGTCCTAACTTTTGCTGGATGATTGACTTTTGACTAACTTTTGACTACTTTGATTAACTTTTTTTTTGTTCTTTTGACTGACATATGATTGACTTTATAGGCGTTCCTGTCACACAAGCGTTCTATGTTAAGGCATATCAAAAAAAGTATCAATGTTAAGAGACAATTCAGTGCTTAATATTTCTTCATGATTAGATGTTAACGCATGGTTTTAATTGGATTATGATTAATTGTTCTTTCGATACCCAACGTAACAGCTCATATTTACTTATTTGTATTCAAGTCAAAGTTTCCACCAATATATCAATATGTCTGGATGTATTAGAATGCAAATGGAGATATAAGGACTCAATTCTATGAGTAGAAATTGGCTGTTTTCGTTCTGAGAGGCTATCTTGAACAGAAATTTATCTCTATGCGCTATTAGCTTTCAATTCTCGACAAATCAAAAGCGTAGAAATGAATACCTCCAAGAATATTGAGATTGTATGGAATGATGGATGTTTTGAATCAGTCCTTCTCATTGTTATTCATACTTCATACTTCAGTCATAAAAAAATAAGAATCATTTTCAGTTGGGTAGACTTATAGGTCTGCCACTCTCTCATCAACCAATTGTCATTCCAACGGATGAAAAAAGAAACTTGAAGTATGTGTCATAGCACACTGAATAAGCACATTTGTTCAATGTCAATGTCCTTTGAGTCAGTGTCTTGATTCAATGTCCTTTTTAATTAGATGACAGTCCACTTTACTTTACTGGTTAGTACATATAGCAATGTACTAACGTAATTTGCTACCAATATTTTGGATGTATGCCTGCAGAAGTTGGATAAAACTTCAGATGTTGAGGAACTGGAAGGAAGTTATCCAAAAAGACGGATCACTGTTCATTCTGCTGCAGGAAATGGAACGAATACAATGCAAAGTTAAAATTAAAAGGGTTAATCCCAATACTTCTTTTTTAGATTAATGCTTTTTATTCATCATTGACTTTTTCAAAAATTTGTTACTGTCATTATTATTATTATCATTATT